AGTTATTTTATGAAAATAGTATTGTTTTAACTATGCAGGGTCTTCAATATTTTAAGAGGAATTCTAAAGAAGCTTTTTTAATAAACAGAAATAAGCTTTATTGAGTTCACGTATTCGGACCTACTTTTAATTTCCCCGATTTTGTTGTCTCGAATCATAACAAATAATTCATTTTTCATTCATCAGAATCCCTGCTTTAACCATTAGGAATGGAAGCAGCAACTTCAGAGACATTAGGGGAATTTTCTCTCAAATCATTCCGTACGATATAACGTTTTAGAGGTTAGACATTTTTAGGATATTGAGGCAATATTGGTAACCTACATACACATTAAGCATGGCCCACCCAACTTGAGAAGTATTTTGAGGTAAATACCATTTGGTGCTTGGGGGTGTTGCAGGAGTGAGGTCTTGCCAGGTTCACCCCGCTAGAGGGGGTCATTATGAATATTAAACTATTATTATTTGTTTTGGAACAGTAAATCCAAGTAGTCTACTCATCCAGACCTCGTTAAGAACATGGAGGAAACAATACCATACAGACACTACAGTCACACTTAAAGTTTTGGCGCGCTTACGTGGTGCATTAGAACCCCCTCCCATATACCAAAAGAGAATTTAAAAAAAAATTTTAGTTGGTCATTGATGAATATCATAATCCTTTATTCAAAGGTTAAGTAAACAAATTAACACCTGAGCTATACCATGTACACAAACCATTCAAATCGGAGCAAATTCTTGAATGGTATTGAGGCTATGCATCCTCAATGTTTTATCCATTTTTCTGAGTGTGTGAAATTCAAAGTTGCTGTGCTGGAAAAATTATTATTATGGAACATGGATGACTCGGGTATTAGGTTGAGAATTCAAAAGATGTTGCATTTGTTCTAGTTTCCAGAATGAATTTAAACTTAATGCTGTACTGTCATTAAAGTGAGGCTCTCCCACCTCAAACGTCTTAGCTAAATCGTCATTTTATTTCAAATTATTCACTTTATTAATAAAAGAATGATACACGTCATCTTTTCAATGACAGTGCCTGCAGACATCAGCTGTCTTGTCTCTGTGACGGACGGGCGGTGAAATTTAGGGAGTCCCTTTTTCAGCCTTTTCTCAGCATAATATAAATGGAAAAGTTATGAGGATGGAATTTGGACTAAATGAATCTCAATCGCATCAAGGGAACTTGGTTCAGGGCTAGGTCATGCCATTGCCTATCATCGAAGAAAACTGATGGCAAAAACACACCTTCCAGCAGCTACTCGCGTAAGGAGTGTAACGGGACCAGAAAACGTGCCCGGTTAACCTGCGAGGTATTTTAGACACACTTCCATCCAAAAAGAATACCCTTCATCTGGGGTGATTAACACATCTTTCTTTACCCTCCCACTATAAAGTTTTAATAACGGTTGTCAAAGATAATAAAACGTTTTATCAGTTGGACACGGACTTGCTGTGCATCTGTATATCAGGTGCTACAACGTTTACTAGAAAGCGCCATATCACGTGCACAATTAATAAACTAAGAGATTACATTGTCACAATTTGGCTTGTAAATAGTTTCATCAAAACTTTATGTGAATTCAGAAAAGAAAACAAAAAATGGACTGAATGAGAAGGTGAACACTGAGAATTTAGAAGGAAATTGTAAAAGATTACAAACTACCATTTTCTCCCCATCTGGTTCATAATCCAGTCTTCTCGTAACCATAACTGTAGACATTATTGTTTGGTATACAAAACGTAGTCATACAGTATAGTTGAAAATTTATGATAGTAATCCAATAATTTCAATATTGAAATATATTTATCTTCTCTGAAGAGATAAAGAATTGGAAAGAACTACAAAAGACACGCTAATAAAAGAGGAAACTGAAACCCAGTCCTATTTCTCTTTTCTTTCCCTTTTCTTTAAAAACAAAAACCGAACTGATTTAAAAGCAGGAACAAAAATAACAACAACAACAACAACAAAGCAAGTAAAGATTTGTATTGATTATCAGGAGAGTACAGTTAAAGAGTTAAGGATCCTTTGATAGTATCGTCCTCACACTGGGGTATCGTATCTGATGGGAACCTGGATTCCCACTCATGGGCGGCGCCCTTTGAGTGTTATTTACCCCCATTCCTCGAACCCTCCATCAGTGTCATGTCAGCTTTTCAAAGACAGGTCTCTATTTCTCGAAAATAACAACCGATCAAATTGCAATATAACTTAATTCTCATCAAGTGAATTACAAACGAATTGGTCTTGGGTGGAAGAATCACAGCCAGTGTTCGGGGGTGTTTGGGGGTAAGGAGCTAAGCCCTCGCCGACTGCTCCAGCAACTGGTAACATCATCAGGCGCTAAGGTCTAGCTTATCCATTGATCATCCGCATTTCTTCTTCGTGTGTTACATTTCCAGGTAAATCTCCTTAATAAAACCTTACTTAAGGATGTAAGCATTATAAAATCAAAAGATAAGATTGTGTAGATATATTTGTATAAACGTTGGTTGATGCACGACGATGTACAGTCGCCTAACTGAATGTTCGTATTGACCATGGGTCGTGATTTCATAATGATCTGCCTTAGTTGTTATCATTTTGAATTCACAAAGAATGGAACGTGTAAGATTATTATCTCTTCCACCAATCAAAAGGAAGATTCCGTGAGCTTTACATGCAACTTTGACCACTCTTAACATCTTCAAGAGCATCTTAGTCATCCACATCATCGACTTCACCGTACTCATCATCATCATCATCATTCTTATCATTATCATCATTATCATCAGTATCATCATCATCATGACCTTCATCATCGTCATCATCACCACCATCATCTTAAACATCTTTGATGTCTTTAGTATCATCATCATCATTTTCATTTCATCATCATCATCACAACCCCTTTCATCACTATCAACACTTTATCATCAACATAATTAGCACTGGTCTCGTTACCAGATATAGAGTGATATTGTCTTTATTTCTACCGACGATGTTAGCCCTTCCCTTCACCTTATCATTATTATCCGTGTTTACAACTTCGGAACCAACCGGAAAGACGCCCAGAAGAACGAAGAAATCTTTCCTCATGCTGCATCACTTGAAAGGTTGATCCTTCAATTCAAACTCGAAGAGGCGCGGAGGCAACTGGTATCGTCAAATGCCAGACTCTGTACCTTTCAACTTTCGCCCCTGTCTGCCTGCGTCGCCTTTGATATGAAGCCGCCGGGATCCATCCTCATTTACAAGTCGATTTGTGTAGCATCTGCCGAGGAAGGACGGAGTGAGGCACGCTGACAAGTGAAATTAGGAGGGGTGGGGGTGAACTTGGGGGTTTGTTACGTTCGAGTGCACAGCTCTTCCTCCTTGGCTTTCAATCAGTTCAAGTACACCACTCAGCGAGACGGTTTCCAAGGTTACATTAACCACATCATACTTTGCTATTAAACGTTATATACCGGTCATACGTTACAAAAATATATTCTACAGTATTAACAAGAATATAATTTTTTTTTTTGTGATTTAAGGATTGGTATGCAACAAACATGTCTTTTCAGGTCCCTCAAGAAACAAGAGAAAGATTTAAACCGAATATCATTTATGTTTATTTTGTGTAATTTAAGGATTGGTATACAACAAACATGTTAAAGACAAACAAACGTTTAAGTCCCTCAAGAAACAAGAGAAGATTTATACCGAATATCATTTAGGTTTATTTTGTGTAATTTAAGGATTGGTATACAACAAACATGTTAAGGACAAACAAACGTTTCAGGTCCCTAAAGAAACAAGAGACGATTTATACAAAATATCATTTAGGTTTATTTTGTATGATTTAAGGATTGGTATGCAACAAACATGTCAAAGACAAACAAACGTTTCAGGTCCCTCAAGAAACAAGAGACGATTTATACAAAATATCATTAAGGTTTATTTTGTATAATTTAAGGATTGGTATGCAACAAACGTGTCAAAGACAAACAAACGTTTCAAGTCCCTCAAGAAACAAGAGATGAATTATCACACAGAATAAATACTCCTGCGTGGTAGGTTGGTTCGGGGCCAGTTGTCCCACGCATGGCCTCTGGATGGATGGCGATCCATCGGGGGAGTGTTACTGTGTTGATTGTGTCATCAAATCGATGAGTTGTTTTGCGATCTGTGTCACCTCCAATCAAGTGATCTCGTTCATCTCAATCTAATCAACACATCCAGACCTTTGGGTGCTGAAGGGAGAAAGGTTGTGCAATGGAATAACCATCAAGGTGTTGCCCCCTGTTTAAATATAATGATGACAGTTGGACAAATGCATAAGAACTTAACACTGTATTGGAAAGGCTTGCTAAGGAGTGGGAAGGGAGCGGGAAAGGTGCAGAGTTGCGAGGGGTGAACGGAAAAATTCTTCAAATTCGCGCCTTTAGCCCACCGAACACTTTACGGTCTTCCTACGACCCGATTTTCGAATAAATGGCAAACATATTGGATATGGAAATCTGAACAAACATCACCTTCCTTATTCTAAATAATTATAAGAATAAGTTTAGTGCATTTAAGTCTTCTTGTTATAATACAAGCCGAATAAAAGCCGAAAGTGAGAAAGTGTGTACAAAACTGTCCCTCTCTTCTTTTATTACTCCTAACCCGCTCTCATTCCTACGTTCTTCTCTCCCATATGTTTTTAGTAACTTAATTTCTAAGTTTAACAAATAACCTTTCATCCATCTCTCTTTATATTTACTTTTCATAAATCAATCTTTGTGTGAGTCTCCGTCTCTTTACTTCTCTTTGTTTTAAATCAAATATGTTTGTGTATGTTCGTACAAACGCCATATTGCTGGAAGAAGTATCATGGTCGATTGGACAAGTCACCGGAATATGGACTACACAGTACGAGGTTCGAATCCCTGCCACGCCACGTTACCAAAAAAAAATATCACATTTCCCAAATTTTCTTGCAGTACTCTTTCTGTATTTAACTCTTGTCTTTGTTTTCTCTTACTTCTTTCAGTGTCATCTTCGTCTCAGAGTTCCCATTGTTCAAGAGATACATCTACGGACAAGGACGGCAAGAAGAAGCACACACGCCCAACCTTCTCGGGCCAACAAATCTTCGCTCTGGAGAAGACATTCGAACAGACCAAATACCTGGCCGGGCCTGAAAGAGCACGTCTGGCATACGCGCTCGGCATGTCGGAAAGCCAAGTCAAGGTGCGTAATAATGATGAAAATGACAATAATGATGATGATGATGATCACGATGATGATGATAATAGTACTAAAAATAATGCTAATAATAATGATGAACAGCAACAACAATAATAATAATGATATTAACAACAACTATAACAACCAGATTGATCATTGATTGTGGCAAATGTCTTGTCAAAGGACATTGGTGACGCGGCGGGACTCGCACTGTGAACCGTGCTATTCACTATGCGGTGACTCTACTGCAGGGGTACTGGTGTGGGTGTGGGCGTGCGTATGTGGGTGTGTTGGTGTGTAGGCTAATTTTTTTTTTTAAAGACGTGTATCAATCGGATCTGACTTTTTACATCTGAGGACCGACCTGTAACATCACCATACGCAAGAGATGATTCAGTGTCGAACTAGGGTCGACAAGAGCTCTTTTTACAGGCGAATACAGTCTAACATTTGATCAACTAACAAGACACACACGCGCGTCTCTGAATGATCTATGCAGCATCTTGATAAACCACACAAAGGTGGTCGATACTAGTGAAGGTTTAAAAAATGGTATCAGATGATGCAATGTAATTTTGGAGTGTCCAGTATATAATAGACCATGTGCTTCCCTAGGTGAGTATTAGAAAGAGGCATTTAGAAAGTATGGGACATTCACCTTATTATTATCATACTATGACAGAGGTTAAATCTTCTTTTCTGAATTTTATTTTGAAGGAAAGGCAAAAACTGTCACAGCCTTCCTCCGTTTAACTTTCCAGTAAAACGGTCTGCGAAATTGGCTTCATTTCTCTAACTTCACTTGACATCCGAGCTATTCAAGTTGGATGAATTAAAGTAATACGAATGGACTACCTCCACATACAATAGCCCCATCATATAATGAGCCCTTCTGTGTTTTATCATGGTATTTTTTTAACAAGAAATGATTAATAGTTAGAGTACCTATTTGGTGAAACAAATTGGTCCACTCCACCGTTCCCTACGTTACAAATTAACGCGAAGAGTCATTAATCTCGTGTGTTCTGCCGACCAATAATGTAGATTGAGAACAAAACTCTACGTGTGAGGTAGAAATGATGAAGGTAAATCTCTCTGCAATCGTATCGTAGCTTTAAAATAATGACTATCAGTAATATTTCTATCGTGAAGCTAGCCATTTCGTCGTTATGTTATAGAACACCATCTGCCATCGTCTCAGAAATGCATGCACAATGTTCACACACACACACACACACACACACACACACACACAAGGACAAAAGCACAGAAATACACGCAAAAATGGCGCCAGGTTCAGCTTTTTCTCTTTCTGTAATTTCTCTCTATTTCCTCTCAAATTGCTTTGATAAAACACCCTTATATTGCTGCCAAGCCCGTTTCAGCAGGCGGAGAATAATTAAGAAAACATTAGTTATTTTCCCCGGGTAGTAATGGCCCTTCCTGACAACCATCAATGTATATGAATTCGTATAAAAACAGCATTTAGTCATCCGTACTCGCTGTTTCAATGCGCAGCTTTTGGCTTTAATCACCGCTATTCGAATTAAACGGGAGGCATTACAGAAAATTGTGTTCGCGCTGCCCAAGAAAACGCCTCCATCTAGTTCAATTCTCCTAAGGTCTATTCCATTCGGACGTTTGTATGAAAATGATGCCCCTGGTTCTGCGTTTCTCGTGAATACGCGATGTCCTACGGGTACTTCACTGTGCTACATGATCGACTGAACTATTTCCATTTAAATGACAGAACGGCATTACGTTTCACCGAGCAAATTTCGCATTTATCGAATTTTATGAATTTTTATTTCACTCTTGATTACCCCTAAGTATGCATATGACGGTTGTTTGAGAAGAAGAAAGAAAAGATAAATCATTATTTGGTATTGCCAGAGACGAACGCCTATGATTGATCAATCTTCCAGTCACTCCACTTATTCGCCTTGTCGTTCTGGCGCTGGTCGGGGTCCTTTTCGAGGCCAGGTCACTCCTAACACACACACACACATTTATATGAGTGTGGGTGTGTATGTGTGTGCGTGTTTTTACATATATATTGCCATAGAGAGAAATAAAAAGAGGGAAGATAGAAAGAAGGATTTACCTGTATAAATGCTTCCATTGCCATAGATAGCATCACATCACCACGTCACCTTTCCATCTTTACGAGAAGTAGGAACCGAAGATGATTTTCAAGATGGTCAAACCTTTTGAAGTGGGTTGATGGATGAAGGGATATTGTAGAAGGGACAGGGAGAACTTCAATGAAAGTTTGGTCTGGTTTTCCTCCCCCTATTAACAAAACTGAACGCGGTGACAAAGAAACTGATAAAGAAAGTTTAGATTGAGCAAATAAGTACAATTTGCCTTGCTTTAACTTATACAAATGTTTGAACTATATGTATCTACATTTCAGGAGAAATACTGATTGCATAGAAAAAATGTTTAACGTGTTTTTCTGCGTGATAATATGAATGCAATCATGTTTATATTATATGACTTGTTGATTGATTACATTGACATTTTAAAGATGGATTATTATTTCTATTGAGGCATTTACCTCAAATCGTTTATGATACATAAAAATAGGAATTCTGAAATTTACTTAAAGTATTATTTATTTTATCATTTTAAAGATATTTCTGTAGTGGCGTATTCTGCGAATTACATTCGAAAACTGTCCACAATATTTAAGACAAATAAAAGTTTCCGCGGTTGGTTTAAAAGTAAGTTCGTGGTTTACCCATATGGGAACTCGCCTGTCAACACAACTAGGTAATTTGGTAGATATTAACTTTTCTCTTATTTGTATCACGACTGAACCTTCTCTAGTTTTTACAAATTCGTTTCAGTCTCAGGGTTCCCTTTTAGCACATCTCTTTCTCTAACTATTAATCCTCGACTTTTCTTCTTCTTGTCCAAAAACCTTGCGACATTATATTGTGGAAATCATTTAACCAATCTTAAGCCAACAAAAACACGGCGGTGGATTTCGCTGCTCTCTGTAGAGTTAATCGCCTTTGATGTGGGGCAGGCTACGATGGGATAGAGTCAGATATGCGAAAGTGTAGATGGACGTGATGGATACTTCAAGTACATCCTAGAGTTTCGCCAAAAATAGGGGAAATACTTGGAGGCCTTGATACATCAGATTCCCTGTGAACTTGAAAGCGACGTCTGTATAAGGCTTAGTACAGAATGTTCGTAAAACAGTGGCGCCACAAACCGAGAGTGCAAAGACCTTTGGCTTTTTACTTCTTATACGACTGCCCACCATATTAAACTGTCAATTGGATTCTGCTAGGATAGGTTATGACTCCCAAAATTCGGCAGCAATTGATTCAAATTACACCCGATCGAATGACATGATTCAATTCCCGCTGATTCCTATGCCATTCCTAACCTCTCTCCATTTTCGTAATCTTTGCATTGAATAATTCGTTTTTATAAAAAGGTATGGTTTCATTTAATACAGTTTTTTAAAGTTTTAAATCATTTTTCGTGTCTTAATTGCAGAATTTTGAAGAACTGAATACTATCCTGACTACATGTAATATATCTGCAGTGACCAACATTTTGTTTTTAATGACATTAATCAACTTGTAAAACGGATTAAAATTGGGAGAGGAATATCGACCATTTTCATTTAGTGACATCGGAAAATATGTTTTTTATGTTGACCGCTGCCCACGAGGTGTTATTTGCTGACGTAGAAATGTGTTAGCGACTGGCGTAATATTTGACGCGCCTAATGAGAGCGACATTGCACACACGGTGAACGTAAAATGAAGTGTAAAAGTGCGTTGAATTATTGGCGCATGATCTATTTCTCACAGACTTTATTAGCGTAAGATATAACTCAATTATAATGACGACTCTGACGCAACGGATACGATAACTCACATTGGCGAAGTTCGCGCTCGCTTCAGAACTCTGCACTCTTTCAATTAATTGGCGTGGGCTAATTTATAGCATTTTAAAGTCATTACTTCTTGTGTGCAGCTTTTACACTGAAAATTTCTTTTTTAATGTAGTAAAGTCGATTAGTCCATATCGAATATAAAATTGTTTTAAAAATCAACCATGGACGAACAAAGTCTCTAACGCAGCTTCACCTATCATAACGCATACAGGAACATAACAGTATCTAAAAAACAATTTTCCAAACACATTCTTGGGGACTAAGAGAGCTCATCTCGTTTTGAGACCCAGCTGCATGTCAACAATACTTTCATTTAAAACGAAAAAATGAAAAATCTATTCCCTCCTGTCTCCACACCTGCCGTCCATGGTAACCCAATTTGGGCTTGCATTACCTTTATAAGAAACAGGGGTGACGAGACTGCTGTCATGGTTGTTTTGAAAATCTTGCAGCCCTTCATTCATTTAAATAATACCCTGTGCAGCACTTACATTCCCTCACCACGTTTTATGTTTTTAAATCGAGAATTGTCACACCTTTTTCTCACTCCCCAAGCACTATTGCATTACGATTATTTGATTGTCTACCACATCTGATAACAATATTGGTTGTGGTGTTACGACGATACCTCTTTCATGCGTGCCCTTCGTTATTATACGCGTGTGTTTTTGTGCGGCACACTTGAAAGGGGCAAGGTACCACAGATCATCATCAAAGGTATTCGGCAGGGAGACGACGACAGTAAGAATGTCCCCAGTTCCACTCTTGACTTTCACCTCTGCACAGCCGGCGTGCAGGTCTGACCGACCAATCCTCCGTCGAAGTGCGTCTGGCTTAGATTGCAAGATAATCTTAGGAGGGATTGGGATGGGGCTTAGGTACCAATAGAGTCGTTGTTTGGAGTGTAAAGCCTCTCCTTCGAATGTCGTAACCCTGTTGAGACGACCCCGGGAAGGTCAGGGGATGTCGACTTGTTAGCGTACCGCACAGGTCCTCGACATCCACCTTGTTGATTGTTCCTCGACAAGCGGTACGACGGGGTGAACTCTTCGCCTACTTAACGACGCTTGGATCACTTCCTCATTTTTGATAACTGTTTCGGCTCACATTTCAAGCAACTTTTGGCTCTCTCTCTCTCTCTCTCATTCTCTGAAGCGAGGAGATAGAAAAGAAAATCCCTCATGGTTGATGATGTTTTCAACTGAGCATCTAATCCGCTTATGTTTTTCTCTTCGTGGAGGTATTCGGGAAGTGATGGGTGATATGCTGTGGAAAAAGAAGTCATCCAACTTACCCCGCAGCGTAGCTTTGGCCTCATTCTATGTACCATTATTGTGGCTGGTGGTGCGGTACATGATGCGTGCGACGCTACGTGTAAAGCAATGCAAACAAAGCGGTTCGGCAACATGATTACGAATCTATCAAAGGGAACTTCGGGCAACTAATTCCCCGCGCAACATGCGCACCGATGACGTACGCGCAGTAAGAATTCCCTTCGCAAAACCTATTCCATGGTGTTTTTAAGATAGCAACCCTAATATTTGCTCTCATCAACTTAATGTTGGTTCCACAAATAGCTCATTTTCGCTGGTGTCGTTTACGCTACCTCCGAGCGATAATAGATGAAGTGAAGTTACTCTCAACGATAATTCAAACGCGCTTGGCTCTTTAGGTGGTCTTGCACTAGGCAGTCTAAATATCCGGTCGATGTTTGGCTAATATGAGTCGATTTGCTTTCTTATAATTCAGTAGGAATTTGAGGGTTTCTTGAATATTGTCCCAAGGGCAAAGCGCGGGCTCTTCATGATGAAAAATAATCGACGAATCGTCGACTGCTACAGGTGATGAAAGGCTTGAGCGAGGAAACAATCTCTCCTTGTCCTCTAGTCTTTTCCACAACCTTACTCTCTCATTCCAACTTTATTTTGTCTTTATTTCTGCATTATGATCGTCTAATACTCTCAAAATGACATGCTTTCGACTGTTATCTTGGATGAGACAACTTGTGGGAATATTTCGAAAAAAGAATGGATTAAATTTAAATTTCGGTCCACAATTAATTCATTCATACCTGTCATACGTAGGTGGCAAAATAGAATGTAAAAGAAAGAGGATGGGAAGGATCATTCTTGCTAGACCGACTTCTAAAAGAATATGTCATTACTTACACCACCTCCCTTCATATGAATCGAATATCTCCGATCATTTAGAATTGAGTATTTGTACCAAATATTTTGAAGGATAATATTTATCATTACATCATGGTATAGATGTAAGGAACAATGTGACAAGCCAGGTTAGTGATGACCGTTTGTAATAATGAGAAAGGAAATCGGCATGACAGCTTTAGCTTTTTGTGGCATGATGAAAATTACCTTTGAAATACGTCAGAGAGAACAGTTTATATACCGCGTTGAAAACAGAATGGTGTTTTTGAACGCATGTAATTCGATACAAATCTAACCTCTATTTATTTCTTAATAGACGGTATTTAATATGTTTGTGTTTTTGTATTGCATAATTAACGAAAACGCAATTAACTTGTTTTTTATAGCTCTCCTACAAACGAAATCTCCTTGAATTTTAAGATGATGCTTTTTATCAGGAAACAAACACATTAACCTTAAAAAGTAGATATAGTAATTAATAATATGTTTATATGTTTAGAAAAGAGATCTATACGTTTGCAAAATATAGTTTCTTTGTGATGTTGAATAGCAAGCTGAGGTTACAAAAAATTAATATAAATATTACTCATATAGTGTTACATATTTTGCAAATTTAATTACAGTTTCCTCTAAATCAAAACATGCAATAAGTATTCCTTAACAACTATTGTACAGTGAAGAATCATCATCGGTTGCATTCAATGGTTCATTTGCCACTCCATACCCAAGGGGAGAAATGAGGACCTGGTAGGATGACGAACGCCTTTGTGTTAATTAAATGCCATATGCCTTCTACTTCTTGTTGTTCTGGTCTTCCTCTTTCCCCTTCCTCTCCCTCCCTATTTGTTGAGGGTAGGGGCAGGGGGTTGAAGAGATTTTGTTTTTCGGAATTGTACCCTCTTCTGACAGATTCCTGGATACCTCCCTTCTCCCGGAGTACCTGCAAAATGACCTACGTGATCGATGGCATCCGCGGCTTGGCTTCCGGGCGCTGATGGAGGTGCATATAGGCCCCCTTTTATTGTGACCTATTGGTGGTGGCTTGAATCGTAGGGTCAATCCCAGAGGCAGTGATCCATGTTCATTGCCAAGGCATGCAAGGCTTTATATGAATTAGGATCTACATCGAACCTATTGAGTATTTGTTTGTCGATGAGAGGCAGAGAGAGAAATAGGGAAAGAGGGAGGGAGAGACAGAGACAGAGAGAGAGAGAGGGGGGGGGATTGAGGAGAAGGGGGCGGGGTTGGATAGAATAAATTCCAAACTGCATAATTATTATTATTATTTATTTATTTTTAATTATTGTTTTCATTATCATCATTATTATCATTATCATTTTCATTACTTCATGATTATGGGCCCCGTCATAATATAAAGAGTGGCGATTGCTATCAATCGGAAATAAGTTGTATTTAATCGCAACTGACGGGACCGGCTGCTCTGCTCATTTGGAAGAAAAAGGAATTCAACAACTCACCTTTATATGGTATACGATTGTTTTCTTCGAATTAAAAAATCTTTCTGAGTCAATTTAAGCTAGTTATCCCGAATATGCAATCCCATTGCATATAATTGCTTAACCATATAATTTCTCAATGATGTATGAAAGCAGATATTCACCAATTTTTTCTCTCTCGATACTTCAAGAAATTACTTATCCGAACATATTGCCTGATAATCAGCCAATAAAACAATAGATAACAGAGGAACAATTGGTACCTCATTTAGGCCCAGCCAGTCCAATGGATTAGGCTTTTAGTTTTTCACACGGCACCAAAGTGACGACATACGTACCTTATAGGTATGCTGAGGCTCTCCCTCCCTCCCGCCCGGCTTGTAATGCTTGTAGCCTACCTCACCAAAAACACCACCACCTCCTCGTCCCATGTGTGAGGATTAGGGCCTAATTTACACCAGACACGGGGCTGCTTCGGCACACCTGACTATGCTATTCCCGGGCAGCCAGATCAAAGGCAGCTCCGCCGATTGAGAGAAATTGGACGGAAATCCCCTCTTGCCCATGCCCAACAAGCCGTAAACGTGTTAACAGGTTCTTTAACACCTCCCAATCCATTTACACGATTGATTTTAAATCAGAGCCATCATTTCAACCAATTGGCTGTGTACATACTTCTTCTTGTTTTCAAAAATGAGGTTTGTGCTTTCTTTCTTTACATCAGTGAAGATCTTGAAGATAAGGGTGAGTTCTGGGCATGCGATCGATTGAATCCTGAAAGAATCTACTGGGAAATTTGACTGTGTAGTTCATAAAATAATTGTGTATTGTGAAACTTTGGAATCAACATCATGTTAGCAAATTGACTCATCTTGCTTGGAGGGTGGTGTATGTGCCTGTGTGCCCCCGCATGTACGCCAGAGTTTATTTCCACAATTCATTCTGCGCCCACGTCCCAATCATTTCTTAACAGATGTTTTACGGGGGAACCTATATACCTTAGAATACCGTTAGCTAACATCGTTTACTTTCTCATCAATCATATTTATTGCCCATGAAACATGACGTAACAAAGAGTCGAGCATTTGCATTAATGGGTAACATGCGCACCCCCAATATTACAGTAATTTAATTACACCGTTTCTACATGTTACTGAGTGTGCAGCCATTGTCCACAATAAATAAAAAGTCATTCTTTGGCCAATAAATTAGTTTTTCTCAGCAATTGTGGATGATTCTTTTGCCTGGCTCGTCAACCTTTAGCATTTCAAAAGATTGATTGACACCATAACGACTTTCGTGGAAGATGATGTGACATTCAGTTGGCTCGGGCATCTATGCAAATCAGGGGCTCATGTATGAAGACATTATAGATACACGCATCATTGCAGATACATATGATGTGATCGTTAAGTGAAATCAACAGAGATTGGAAATCGACTAATAAGATATAAATCATGAATATAACGACATTCTTTCGAACATTTTGGTTCATTTGCCGAAGGTTATTCCAACGTTTAAATGTATCTCAATTCAAGTTGTGATTAGATCTCAGACTCTTTTGCCAGAGACAAAATAGACGAAAAAACACAAGATTTGTCTTGATGCCTTTGGTCATTAAGCCGTTGACTAAATGTTAACGACGTTGTTACCGAGTCGGTTTATCTACGAATTTTAACATTTCATTCAATTTCATAGACTTCCTTTATGATACCATAATGTCGGAGTCCTCCCATTAAAATGGTCCATTTTTTATTGAATTTGGGAAATCATATCTTAATTGCCAGTTCAATTATTGCTATGTTCATATATAGGCCTTTGCCAAAGAATAATTGATAATGTAATGATGGTGGAATTTGCCTTGCCCCGGATTAGTTGCTCATAAAAATAATCTGTCTCAACATATTCTAAATCTCTTTCTCACTCTCTCTCTCTCTCTCCCTCGCTCGCCCACTCTTTCTCCCTCTCTTTCTTGTGATATCCCGTATCTTTGGTACAGACAAAGTGAAGTAGTAAAACTACATCATGTATGTACTGCATTGAAAAACTTTCCAGAAACTCTTCATATTTCGGGCGGCATTATCATGCTCTAAACCAAATGCTCAAACGAAAGGAAGGAAATTATACCATTACTTTTTACATATTTCGGTTCATGACTGTTAAAAAATGTTTTTCATTGTTATTGTGTTTTCATACTACTTTATCGTTAATCCTCTTTACTTTTAATATTTTTAAACTGATTTGTTGTTAACGTACTATATCATGATGGTAAGGTATCGTCATGGTAATGATACTTTGTCTTCTTTTGTGTGTATTCAGGTCTGGTTCCAGAACAGACGCACGAAATGGCGTAAGAAACATGCCGCGGAGATGTCGGCCGCCAAACGCAAGCACGACTCAAACCACCACACGCCATCAACGACCACCGACCACTACGCCCTCGCCCACCACTCTCTCCTCGCCGCCGGGGCAGCATCGGCGGCCGTCGCCGCATTGGAACGCGCTGGCGACCACCACCATCCGTGCGATCTGGAAGGTGACACGTCGAGAAGTGAACGCTCCTTTGACGGTAGTCGAGATGGTTTAGACGACGACGATGATGATTTGGAGATTGACGAGGTCGTCGAAGCAGACATTGACGATGACGATGAGATAAACAGCAAGAGACGGAAATTAGACATTCAAAGCATAGACTCTATCATGCGTTGAGTTGAAGTATATCACCGACGTGTAAAGACATTTGTTTCAATCTTATTTCAGCCGAGACAGCCGAGAAAGCCCAGATTATGCTTGTCTATGTGTAAGAGTCTAAAGAGCGAAGGTTTTGGACCTATTCCCAAAGGTTCATTTCCAGAAGTTTCATAATACAGAAATACAAGTTTTACACAAAAGAATTAATAATTCTGAAATTGAAATAGGCTAATTTATTTTGAAAGTGTGTAATTCCGAAAACGGAATTTAATAATTTAATATTTTTTTAGGAATTGTTAAGTTTTAGAATTGTGGACCCTTTTTTATTTTGGCAAATATGATCTTTTTTAATTCTTGATTTTCAGAATTCTAAACTTTCAGAATTAGATAACTTCGGAATAACGACCCATCGGTAATACGACATGTAATCTAATAGCATATACTTGCTCAATGTCATTGAAGCCGCAGATATGGAATCAAGGTTATATATTCAGGAAACAACGTACCCTTCTCCCCCAACTTCTCATGTTATTCGTTATCTCGATCCTACCTAGTATATAGTGCAAGAGAACATAACATTAGATAGCTTTTACAGAAACAGAGTTATGATTGGTCCACAGTCAGTCACGTGATATCAATCGCGAGGATCGTAATTAGCATATTTAAATCCCGGTTACTGACGCGGTAGGGCGGACGGCTAGAGAGAAGATAAAAAAAAAAGTCATGAGATCGGAATAACCCTTAATTTCATACAAGGCTATCTTATATAATAGATATTGACTTTTGAGCGGTAAAGACAATGTAAGGTCAATATTAGTGCGAACTTTTTGTGTTTCTTGTTGTGGTAGAAATTCTGACTGCTTGTAAACGTTTTGTGTTCTTATCCGTTTCTTCTTTAAAATGTTGTCAAGAAAATCATATGCGTATTAAAAAAACATGACAATTTTTTAGGTGAGAAATAACAATGTTTCTATACGTCTTTTACTGGGAATAGAACTTCTTAGATCTAGCTCAGGTTTTCTTTCATTGACTGCAAGAACGTGTATTTGAAAGTCTGAAAATCGTGCCACCAGTTCCTGTAATCCGTTGAGGCTTATTTCTTTCTTTTTTAATTCATGTCTTGTTGCTTACTGGATCTTTTCATTTGGAACGTTCTTCCGCGGCGCTTTTTTTTATAATGACGGAAATTGTGATACGCTTTACATATTTGTATCTTTTAACTCAAAAGTCAGTGAAAACGCGTCGAACCCTTGTTGCGGTCAGTCATTCATTTACACGTTTTGAAGAAAAAAAACCGCTGCGGTTGACCGCGTCATATCTACATACTCTCATACTTTGGTTCCATTTTCACGACTGTTAAGTTGCATTCTGTTCATTTCCTCTCTATTTTGTGACGTAAATATTTCCTGTTGTCTGTCTGAAGTACCATATCGTGACAGATACGTAAACGTGAAGCAATTAAACTGTTTGCCGGATGCTTGCCACTGAGTAAATCTCTCTCCATTTCTGTTAGTAGATGATTTCTTCGAAAAATGGTAAAAACTTGTTTATTTGTGATAAATTTTGTATGACATTCCATTCATAGGACTGTGTGGATCTATTGATATCTGTCGTGTAGTGAACGCATCTATACCAAAGAAGAAGAGGCATAACTTTTTCGGTGATTTTTTTAAAATAAAAAATATATATTACGAACTTTCGCTTACTGAATGGTCACACAGAAACAAATGTATGGTATTAATAACCTAAAGCTGATGAAAAAGATGAGTTAGTAATATACATGTAGTTATAATAGTTTGCCTAGTAATAGCAAGATCCAATGCTTGTTTAACTATCAAGCATTTATAGTCTTCAATATGAAATGTGCATGTTCAATATGGCCATGGTGTTTGACGAAATTTGGAATATTGAAAATTCTGTATTTTCTGAAACTTTGCGTTTTTGGTGGTATTATGTGGGTATCAGTATCAATTTTCAATAATATCATTGTATTTTCAGTTATCTAAATATTTCATTTAATTATTAGGCGGAAGCGAACCGGATATTCCCATGAACATATATATACGACACTTGTATATGTTCTTGATTCATATAACATCTTCAGGTAATGAGACGATTGCAATATTCAGAATATTATTAAAAGGTTCATGGGATTTTAAAAATAAATATACCATTAACCATACACTTGATATATGTGTATAAGTACAGGTTTTTGGTAGTTATCTCAAACTTATTTTTGAAATAAATACATTTAAAATCAGGTTTTTGGTAGTTATCTCAAACTTATTTTTGAAATAAATACATTTAAAATCATTTGAAAATACTAAACGCTCAATATCATATAATAAAGATATACATGTATTCTCATGTGTGTTTTGTCGGGATTTTGAAGATATAACGGGAATTATGTCAAGTAGTGCGAATTTTGCTTTGGTTTGGAATGAGAATTAAAAAAAGCAACAATAAAAATGCGTATGGAATTTTAAAGATGTAAATAAGCAGAGTAGGTGTGAACGTATAAGCAGTATGCCATTGGTATTATAATGCCACCCTGCCTAAATGTAAATAGAGTATAGAAGTAGCAAATGTGTATTTTGTAAATATGGTGTAAATTTTTATTGTAAAATTTATATCGGTTGGAATTGTTCAATATTAAGTAGAGCATAATAACCACATTTTGAAATGGACAAATCTTCTTTGCATTTGTGTTTTCATTGGAGTAGTTTGGATCTAAACATTTATGAAAGTTTGAACGAAGATTTGGTGAATTGGAACGAGTGGGTGTGGTATTTGTGATGATGCTACAGATGATGATGACAATGACAATAATAATAGTGATAATGATGGTGATACAATAAAATTTATTATGGTAGTGATGATGATGATGATGATGATGACACTGATGATGACGATCATGATGATTATCCGTAGTGACTTGTTGGCGTATGTGTGTATGTGTGTGTGAGTATGTGTGTGTGTGTGTGTGAGAGAGAGAGAGAGAGAGAGAGAGGGGGCAGAGACAGGGAACGATAATGAGATGGAAGAAGTCAGCTTATGACAACGAAGAGGATTGCACTGACAATAATTGAGGCGGTGATGATGTCAGATGCTAGTGATAGTTATGTGATGACAATGATGATAATGAATATTCGTCATTGCAATGATGATGATAATGAGATGATAATGATGATGATATGATGATGATATGATGAAAATCTGTGGAAAATACAGTGTGTGGGTGCATTGTGCGTACAGGTGTATGTGTATGAAATTTGTCTACTATAAGCCTATATAATGATGATGATGATGATGATGATGATGATGATGATGAAGAAGAGAAATAGATTTGTTATAATTGGCAAATGATGGTGACGATAATGATGATAAAATAAAACATAAAAATGTTTTCATTGTGAACTTAGTTGGTCTCAGATAAAATCGCTAGTCCGTCTTTTTCGATAAGCTTTTCCGGGTTCAATATTATTCTGTGGCAATTCGGTTAAATTAAATTTGTCGACTAAAAGAAAACCTATTCTGTGAACTTTAATTTCGAGTGCATTTTCTATTTGTGGAATTTTATTTTAAACGTATCAGTCGTAAAACAATAAATTCATCTGTGAGGAATAAATCCATCATCTAAAATGATTTCTCGAAAATGCTGCAACTTTTGCCAAATACTGAGAACATGGCGTCTGCGGGTGGATAATGTGCTTGTCGCAATTGATGTCAACACTTTAAATTCTTATAGGGTTTAGATGATTAACATATCAAGGCATTTTGAAATTTTTTTGTTTTGTCTATTTGTTTTAGGAACACATCCATACCTCAAAAGGAATTGATGATTGAGAGATTGAGACCATTTGATTTAAACACTTTGTTTTAGAAGTATGACGTATATTGTATAAGGCATTGGATGCCCACATCTAGATGACTTCGAAAATCCTGAAAATATGATTGTTCGAAGACATTCTGATGCAATAAATAATAAATAAATAAATGAATAAATAGGTAGACATCTTGAAGAAGAGGCAACAGTAAAATCATTTATTCGTCTGTTATAGTATCTGTTACTGTGTTGTCACGTGATATTTCCATTATTCTATAGATCAGAATGACGATACGTGATATAAACAATACCCAATGTTGAGTAGTTCATTAATGCAAATGATATTAATTAAAGACATGAGGCAAACATATTATCTTTTCGCTCATCATATTCGTCTGATAACTTAATAGGCTTTGCACAACATTCAAGTGACGGTTGGGATAAAAAGGTTATTGTACTGTTGATTCCCAGTGATATAATCATGCATCTGTGTAATCAAATCACAACGACCACTCACAAGAATCCCACGCTACGGGCGTTCAGGTACACCCGCCCATCATCATCATGATCAGTCCCATACATACAATTACGTGGTGGGTAATGATTGAAACAATCATGACCCTTGCTGGAAAACAAAACACGCAAACACTGTTCAATTCCCTTGTACCGGGGCACGATGATACACACTGTCTTTCACGAAGCGCTCATCCCACAATCATCCCTTTTAAAGAGAGTTTTTATTCCTTTTCATTGGCAGGAATGCCAGGATTACGGATTCAACTGAAAATCCGCTTAAATTTTCGCGTGGACCGGACGAGTCGGCAGGTGTAAATGATGAACAACAATTACTGTCACATCTGCTGTAGACATTAATGGTGGTGATCGTGTGATCATCACTTTGTTACATCGCACGTCGAAGTGAGAAAGGGCGCCATTTATTTTTTACACCCCCCCCCCCCCATGACAACATTTTCATATTTCATATTTTCAAACAAAACAAATCAAAAACAAATTTTTAATTGAGAATAAAAGGCCACGTTGTTACGAATTATCAGTTCGATTTACTTATCTGCCTTTCATAATTTGTCCAGGTATAACAGTTTATACCAGTAGGGTTTATTCGAGTCTGTATGAATTTAGTTCTCGTCAATATCATAACTAACACTAGTCCACACGATTAAAATATCTATGTTTTTTCTTTCAATTGTTGGTGTGTGTGTTGGTGTGGGTGAACCTACTTATGAGCAAATGTTAGTGAAGGTAATTCTTATTGCTGTTAGTTATCATTTTCTCTTTGTTGTGAATACTTGTATATATTGGTTAAAATGAACTAATGTTTACGATTACAACAATGCTAGACTTTTTACAGTATCTTACATAAGTGACACTTTTAAGGTATCACAGTTAATAAATTAAGGGTAAATTGGCCCAAAGTTGTTCTTTCAACTGTGCAATGTTGAAAAAATGCCAAATAAAGCTTTTCAATCTTTCAACGAGGAACGAAGAAAAACCAATATATATCTAAAAATGTACATCTTGCCCAGATGCTGAACTAACACTGGAATTTATGCGTACATAGAGACCATGTACAAAATTCGCAATTACCGTGTATTTTTACATGTAACATCCGGGAAATATGTATTATGTATTAGGGAAAATTGTACAGTTGGCGTATGTTCTGTTCATTTCAGTCTAATTTAGATTGACCGGTACCCCAGGATTCGTTGAGAAAGTCCAAAGAATCATAATATATATGTACAAAACGTCATGTAATAATTTTGCTCGGAGTTCGAAAATACGTAAACACAATAAATAAGAACCTACGTATAAAAACAAACTATTTTGCAATAATTGCTTTATTAAAAAAAAAAAAAATCTTCTTCTTCTTTGACTTATATGCAACTCAAGGAAGCAATAATTAAAATCATATTGTTCATACTGTCTCAAATACATTTTCTTCCCACACTATTTTAAATGATTGAAAATAAGATGATGACAACGGGGAGACTTGCAGTGACAATGGCAGAGGTGACAATGATAATGCTTCTAATGATGATTGTCATGATAATCATGATTATCTCTTATATGTTTTTATTCACCTGAAAATATTTTGGACATGCCTCATGATACCCCTCATCTAATCATTAATGGCGTCTGGGGGAAAGGGCTCTTAAAATTTCGTTATGTTCAAACATTCTTGAACAATCACTTGGTATAGTTCTCCATAAATGTGTTTATTAAAATAAAAAAAATCTCCTCGATTTATCAAGTATATCGGCATCAAACAAATAATGTTGTTCTTATAGACGGTTTCTCACCACGTGCGATATGATTAATTTAAAGATATAAAACTTGATTTTAACATATACTATTATGTATATACACAATACTTATTTATGAAGAGGACAGAATTTGAGCGACATGATTTAGCTATTAAAATCATCATGCATTATGCAAGTCTTTTACTTACTATTATTTGTATAGTTGTTAATTTGTGGAGTTTTATATAAAGATATAATTAAGGTAACGAAAGCTAAACATAAACATGAGGTACTTTTCCTAATTTCAATTACGCTCGTGTATCACCATTTGAAGTGCATAAACATTACAATTCAATTTAATTCAACCCAATTTAATAGTTTTAATCATGTAAAAGAAATGCTTACATAAAATTAAAATATAGTATATGGCACACTGTGTATTCTACATGATTGTGTTTTAACGTGATATAAATTAAAATATGTTTAAGCAAATATTTGGCTTATAAATGCAGACACCTATTAAACATTTGGCAAGTATATTGGATTTGAAATTTCGAACTTTATGGAACAATTGTACATGGTGTACTGAACTTACAATTCATAATAATAATGCATCACAGCTTCCTTTATCAAAACCAATTTTTTTTTTGTCGACACTAACTCACGAATCCATATTCTATAAATACAAACATTATGTTTTCATACATATTAATTTTTAAATAATCATATCTGATAGATACACGTATGTAAAAACTCAATTACATACATACATACACACATATATACGCTTAAATTCCGCAAAAAAAAAATCATTATTATTTATGACAATGGCGTTAGATATAAATATTTCACAGTCTGCCTCGCGAATAAAAGAAATTTCATCTCACTGATTTCATCGTTTTGTTATTCCTGTATCTACCACATAATTCGGCATCCATCTAACATATCCTCTCCTGTCACAGGTAGAGTTTCACACCCAATCGCAACGGAATGGGTGGGTGGTTGGTATAATTTCTCCCAAATTGAACATTTAGTGAATGACCACACTAGTGTGTTTAACCGCCATGATAGAAAACAATAGAAATGAATTAATAACCCCGGGCTTTCTCATCCGGCGTAATACAAAATGCAGGTGTGCTAGAATAACAAACACAAGCGAAAGGGGTTGTTTTCATATTTCAAAATATAAACAAATAGATAAAACAGTGGAGAAGAGTAAACAATATATTGTCAACAGGCAAGGGAGAAGTAATACGCATAGATGTCATTACCGGTATTCGATTTAATGAAGAAAGACAGATGGATATATTGATTGGCAGAATGTTAAATACATACGCATGCATATGAAAATATATCAACGAATAGAAATAAATGGATTAATATATATAATATTCAGATATATATATCATATTACGAAATATATTGAAACCAGTAATACTGAAGAATTGATATCTCAAGAATATTTATGTCAACCTTTCTATTTATATATATATTTGATTATGCTCATTTTATTAATTTTATATAAATATAAACAATTTTCGGCAACATAACATACTAAGAATAAGGAAAAAAAGCAAGTAACGAAAAAACGCATAGGAAA